AGGGGGAAAATGAAGAGCTGATACCAAGGGCTCAAGTAGAAAGAAAATGTTTTGAGAATGATGATGGCAAGAAATGTACAAATGTGCTTGACACAACGGATGGATGGATGGATTATGAGAAGAGTTGTACGAGCCCCAATAAAACGATTTTTTAAAAATCAAAATACATTTTGGGTTTGGTGTAATTGGCCATTGAGCTGGCTAGGAGGTCTGCATTCCTGCATATTCTAAGATAATCAAAGAGTGAGCTCTGCTCCTTGAATGGGCAGATTGGAGATTGACAAGAGGAGTTGGAATTTCCATAGGCGAGGGTAAGAATGGGATTTTCTGCTGCTCAGGTGTCATTCACACTTTTGCGAACAGCATCCTGTAATCAGGACACAAGGTCTATATAGGACTCATCAGTCTGCTGCTGGGCGTGTCTCTCCTGGTGGTATTATTGTTTCCCAAGACTGCACACAAACATCACATCTGTGAGAATGCTTGTTTGGTAGCCTGCAATTGCACGTCCACTGTGATGAGACTACCATCCCCCATTAACGGATCTATCCCTCTGGGGAGACCTTGCTCTGCGTTCCAGTGAGCCTGTGTCTCAGCTCCCTCCGACCACCGACCACCGGATTCAGTACTGTAAGAAGTCTGAAAGAGAGAGAGGCAAACCTCAGTCAAGGCATTCCAATCAGTGGGGATCAGATATCCAGAGTTAGCTAGAGATTTAATCATGCTGATCACGAAAGGGGAGTCAGGCCCATAGCTTGCCACTGCCTGTTGGATGTCCTTTAGCAGCTTAAAGGGGAATGCACCCTAATGGCGGTCCTGATGTCCCTGCAGGCTGTCTGCATTGGGTGGTCTTTCTAGTACAGGAACAGGAAAAGCTAGTCTGGTTTCTAAATCTCCTTCTTCTGCAATCCTCTACCTTGAAAGTAAAGGTGATTTGTTAGACTACGCATCCTCCTTGCTCTTATGTACTCATGGCTTGGTTTTATGGCCTCTCCCAGATGTGGTGGGAGCAGAGGCATTTGCCAGGAGGCTATCTTTTAAATCAGACTTAATTTTTTCAGCCTCTCTAAAACATCCCCAACTATCTCATACTCGTTTTGGATCACTTTTGCCTGCTTCTGTCATGTTGAGTAGTTTATTTCAGGCTTTCTCTTCCATTAATGTTCCTCTTTCACCTGCTCTGTCTGTAGAGGGTCGAATCCCATCTTAACTTGAGCCCACAGAGACCAGGTCTCCAGGGGCATACTCTGCCTCTCTCTGTGTGCTTTCTTTAACTTAGTACCTACTTCCTCCCAAGTTCCTGGATCTACAGTTCCTTCCTCTGGGGACCATGGATTGTACTTTCTCACTACTTGTAGACAACCTTGCATCTTTTGATTTGTTACTGCTACCTTCTGTTTCTTCAGTAAGTGGGTGAGTGTAATACCATACGTTTTAGGCTTACTTCTGTCTTGCCCCATTGTCCTCTTTAAAATATTATTATTATTATTATTATTGCTTATCTCCTAATCCCCTGACCAGATCTTCACTTCAAATAATTTCCCCAATTCACTCTACCACCCAATGGGACCATACAATTGTTACATGGGGTATAACTCAAAAGAGTTATTTTCCTACTATCCCAGCTCAGGACGCCATTTGTCAGAGGAAGTCAGCCTCCAACAACTGAAAGACCAGTAGGCACAATTGTACGGCGATGACATATAGATTATTGTAAAGTCATAGAGGACAGGAAAGATGGGAGAGGGAATGTAACAGAGGAGACAGACACATTGATGGTAGCATGCTCACCACAGCCCCTCTTGATGGTCCACATGGAATTGGGAGAAGAGAGAGAGAAACTTTACTACCTTGGGACATTTATAGGTAGCCTTAAGACATGCATATTCAGTAGTTACATGCGTCACAAGGTGGGTGTCATCTACATTAAGGTTTCTGAGCTCACGGGCAAGGAAACCTAATGCCTGCATTGGGACAAGGTATGAGGGGGGTTGAGTAACACTGCGGGAAGAGAGAGCAAAAGGATAATGTCAGTTTCTACAGGAAAATAGAATCACCCATGTGCTCACTTTATGGCACAATGGCTGTTAGGGGAGAACCTGTGCAAGTGATATTTAAAGCAGGATGATGTGCTTGGACTTTACCTCTAATTTACCCAAGTGGAGGATCTCCTACCGCGGAATAGTAGCTTTCCAGATTCCCTCTGTTATAAGTCAGGGGATATAGTCCTCGTCATGTTTCCCTCCGTGCTGTTTCCCACAGTGGGTCAGATGTTAAACTTGAGGCTTCTAACTCAAGTAACTACAGGAGCTGATGAACTCAAGGTCGGCAGGAAATAACAAGCTCGTGGCTACAGAGACAGGTGGATCCAAATCCAACAGGTAAGATGGCAGGCTCCTGGCTCAAGTCAAAAGACCCAGAGGTCAGAGGATGAGTCAGATGCAGAATCCAGACCTAGCAGAAAGCAAATAAGCTTTTCTACAAAGTCCATTTACATTGGAAGCAGTCCACATCCCTGAGAGACTTCCTTTCAACTGACTGTGATCTGCATAAAGGTGTTGCAGCTTACCCTCGTCTCTTTACAACCAATTGACTGTTCATAGATTCCATTATGGAAGTGATTACATTGTGTTAGATCACATCATGGGGGATTTATGTGTTAACGACCAAACCACTGAGAATTCTGGCTCCATCAAGCTGACACAAAACCTTAACTATCACAGTGAGTGACTGGTTGGAATAAATCTTGGCCACATCTCCTAAGGCTGGCAGGTCTTCCTTCAGACCAAGGTCCAGGGTATCTTTGCAAATACCTACTGACTTCTCCCATACAACAGTCTTTGCAGATGGGTCATGATCGGGAGACAGCAGTGTAGACAAATGACTCACTGAGTCTGCCCTTCAGCTTTTCTTCTCTGAAGCCTGCTGTGGACTGCAGGTAGAGATAACGGAATTAGAACTGGGATCAGAATCAACTATGCCAGGTCCCACTCACTTAGAGTCACCTCCTGAGCAGCACAGGCCACATGCTTCCCGGCCTCAGTTCCTGAACACACTGGGTGCTCACTGCCAGGCTTCTGCTAACCAAAAGGTTGGCTGTTCAAACTCACCCAGCAGCACTGTAGAAGAAAAGGCCTGACCATCTGCTTCCAGCAAGATTATTGCCAAGACCCTACAGAACAGGTCTTCTCTGGAACACAGGAGACTGTCATTAGTTGGAATTGACCTGACAGCGACAGGTTTTCCTCTTCACTTGCCCAGTTCCTAGGTTGTCCCTTCTGGATTTCCTCCATGTACCGCCTTTCCCTCCCGGTGGGCTCTGAGACCCCCTCCTCTATGGCCCCCATAGCCTCTGTGCTTCCCTTATTACAGCATTTACCCCAATGGTAATTAAATTCCCATGTTAGAATCTGTGCCCCAACTGGACAGCAACCCCTGGAGGGAAAGTCCAGCTAGTTCATGGCCACAGCCTAGCACACAGTAAGTGCTCAATAAAGGCCTGCCTCCTTGTTGTCTACGAACCCAAATCCCAGTGCTGTGGAGTTGAGTCCGTTCATAGTGACCTTATGGAGTGTAACCCAGTGGTTCTCAACCTTCCTAATGCCTCGACCCTTGAATACATTTAATACAATGGGTGACCCCCAATCATAGTAATTTTCGTTGCTACTTCATAACTGTGATTTTGCTACTGTTATGAATCATAACATAGTATATATGTGATATGCAGGATGAATTTTCATTGTTACAAATTGAACATAATTAAAGCATAGTGATTAATCACAAAACAATATGTAATTACATATTGTGAAATATTTGTGTTTTCCGATGGTCTTGGGTGACCCCTGTGAAAGGGCTGTTCGACCCCCAAAGGAGTCACAACCCACAGGTTGAGAACCACTGCTGTAAACCTTTATGGAAGCAGATAGCCTCATCTTTCACCTGAGGAGGGACTGCTGGATTTGAACTGATGACTATGGACCCAAGGGATGACAAGGGTACTCCGGACCATAGCTGGGAAGGCCTTCTTTGATCGCGCCTTCCTCTCTCCGGTGCTGAGGTGGCTCAGGCCCTCTCATACCCCCACTGGACTGGGCAGAGATGTCAGTGTTCCTATGACCCCTGAGCCTTCCCTGTAGATAGGGAGTGGGAGGTGAAGGAGGTTGGGGGTAGGGGCAGGGAGGTGGGTAAGGGCCTCTAGTGCCCAGCTTAGCCACAGCCTGGTTAATCATCAATGCCTGGAGAGCCATCTGTTTATCTCGGCTCTCCATCTCTGCTTTGTTCCCTAGGGAAAAAATTGAGCAACCAGCCCCCTCCCCCAACTCACTCTGTGTTAACCCTGCCTCTGAAGGTCTCTGAGTGGTTAGGCTTAGGACTGTTCACTGCAAGGTCAGCAGTTCGAAACCACCAGTAGCTCGGCGGGGGAAAGGTGAGGCGCTCTACTCCCCTAAAGAGTGATGGTCTTGGAAACTCACAGGGGCAGCTCTAACCTACCCTATAGGGTCGCGATGAGTCACCCTGAGTTTGTTTGAGCTTGAGTGTTTGTGGGGAGACACTTTCTAACCCGACACCCTCCTCTTGGACTCCCCAGCAGGGCAGGCCACCGGTCACATCCAAGAACCTGCCCCAACTGGAAGGAAGCCAGGGTCAAACACGCAAGCCCCACCCTCGGCCGGCCCAGACCCCCACCCGCGCCACTCGC